TATTTTTTTTTTTTTATTAGACTGATAAGAAGTAAGATCGTTCTTATGTATTCGAACAAAGGATATATTTGTATCTCGTTTTGAAGTCTTAATTATAGAATTTTAATTTAGCTGTTTGATGCAGGAGACACATCGCAAATAGTGTGGTTGTTAAGAGAAACAGTGTCACTAGTATATCGTATACAAAAATATATATTGCGATCATAAATTATATATATATATATATATACATATATATATATATATATATATGTATAGCATAATAAAAAAAANATAACTTTAATCATATAAATAAAAATTATATCTATATATAAGGCATCCTGAATTATATATACAATTACTTCGACTACAATGTTATTGACAAGATTTCAACGAAAAAAATTGTTTTTATAAAATAAATGTAGACTTAAATATACTTAAGTAATGGAGACAATATAATGTAAAATTGCATATCAATCTATTTTTCATGTATGAATGCGATGCATTTATATCTTTCCCTACATGTAAGTGCCTCGAATGTTCTCCTTATATAAAATATGAATAAACTTTCTGACCGAGCGTAGATGTCCTATTTTTATAAATGATCGATATAGATTTATGTGAATTTATGTAATATTTTGTAACAGGAATATATCAACGAAAATGTTCGACGGAGCAACGAGACTATATGTGTATATATTTTGTATGCGCTTTATATGAAACGAAATAAAGTGACAGTGTTAAATGTATAATTACTGTTACCGTTTCTCTTGTTAAAAACGAAATTAATCAGAAAGATGCAAAACATAACGCGAGCGCGTGAACATAGTTGAATATTTTACTGATTGTTCCAGATTTCAATGTGATGAATCTACATAAGAAAATCTGACGCAAATTTTTTAATGATTTTTTTCAATACACTTTATGTGTGTTCTAATAAATGCTAATTATGGANGTTCTATAACCCATGTATAAACTTTAAAAATTGTATTTTATCAAAAGTATTGATTTTCCGAACATATAACCAGAGATCCAACTATTTTTTCAATGATAAATTGTAAATTCGTTTTATTTATATCGATATTTTTTTCATTTACACCTTTTACACCATTAATGATACATGTACACGAATACATACAAAAGTATTATTTTTTGTACTTATATGGGAGACTATACATACTCTTATCGCGATATATTGTTCATATATTGTGCGATATTTAGATTTAAAATGGCACAGCACATTGCAATTATAGAATTTAACTTCAACGTGTATAAATGTTAAAATATATTGGATGAATTCATGTTAGAATCACTTAATGTAACAGAAGATAAAAATAACTACTTCTTTCTTACACTTTGGTCTAAACTTTGGTAACTATATACCACCATGGTTTCGTTATCTATCCGATGATATGGAAAGTAAAGTATAACACTTTTCGATTCTTTATATAGTCACTTAGATACGACAGATATCTATTAGTGTTTATAACCATTTGGATTAATTTGCTGCCATCTCCACGTGTCTGCGCCTGTGGAAAAATAATTCTAATTTTTAGAACGTTATATGTATTTTAATATATTATATATATATATATATATATATGTGTTTGCAAATTCAATCGTTAATATACACATACACATATACACATACACATATCATCCATAGTCTTCGTGGCGACCCATCCAAGTTCCTTCTTAGCAATATTAGCGTCCGCGTAACTAGCAGATATGTCACCAGGCCTACGTTCGACTATTTTGTACGGTATTTTTTTCCTGGATGCTATCTCAAATGCCCGTATAACTTCGAGTACGGAATAACCCTTACCGGTACCAAGATTTATCGGTTTAAATCCAGTTGGTTTATCAGTCTTTTGATAAATCATCGCTTTAACGTGTCCTCCTGCCAAATCCATGATATGGATATAATCACGTACACCTATAACAATATTTCAATTATAATTGACATAAATCTCTCTTTATAATGTCCTTTCTATATATATTTTTAAAACACAACACGATAACCGTTCTCCTCAAAAAAACTTTTATCTAATCATATTTCCTGTAGTTAAAAGTGTGCAAACCTCCGACATACCCGTGCCATCAGGCGTGTCATAGTCATTGCCATAAACATACAATGTGTCTCTCTTCCCGACAGAAACTTGCGCGATGTAGGGCATCAAATTATTTGGAATACCATTTGGGTCTTCACCGATCTGACCTGAAGGATGAGCACCAACGGGGTTAAAATATCTCAATGATATAACGGAAAATTCCTGAAAGTAACGCTTCTTATTATAACGAAATACAAGCGACTAATCGTGATGACACACCTTGTCTGATATACACAAATCCTTCAATATTTCTTCGACCATGAATTTCGTCCTTCCGTAAGGATTTGTGCAATCGCCAGTCTTCATATTTTCCATCAGAGGAAGTTTCTCAGGTACCCCATAAACCGTGGCGCTGCTGGAGTAAATGAAACGCTTCACGTTATTTTCCAACATAACTTCCAGTAAATTTACAGTCCCAGTGACGTTGGCTCTATAGTACTCGAGTGGTTTCTGACATGATTCCCCAACTGCCTTCAGTGCAGCAAAATGTATAACGCAATGGAATGTGTGCTGTAATGTGATATCAGTAAGTCTGAATCTCTCACGTTATGAAGAAATTCTTTAAACTAACTTGTCTATTATAAATCTATTTACTACCTTCTGAAACACGCTTCTCAGGTCATTGATATTTACAATATCACAATTAATAAATATGATATTTTTGCCTGTCAATTTTTCCACTCTGAGAAGACATTCTGGTTTTTCAGAAGTTGAATCTGTGAATATGAGAGGAACTATATAATATATTTGAAAAAGATTAATTTACAATGTATATAACAATAAGCATGCATAATTGTCTTCTGTTATAAGATATTATAATATTTAATGCATAAGAATGAAGTATCAATTTGTTAAAAGTAAACATTAGAATTTGTAACTAATTCATTCTGCTATATCTCTGATATAAAGGAAATATATTAGAGGAATATTGATTATTAAATAGAATAGAGACAAGAATGATACAATTAACTATGTTATTTGTATATGGTTTGGTTTTATGGAACACAGTGTATATATATACAATTTGTAGCGGCTGTGCTGAATGCCTGGTTGGCCTCACCTTTGTATGCATTGCTTAGGTTGTCTATTACCACCACCTGAAAATCTGCTTGCAATAGTTCCAAGACAGTGTGAGAACCAATATAACCAGCACCTCCCGTCACCAGAACATTCCAAGATCCGCTCGTCATTGCTTATCGTATCGTGCTGTTTGTTACTTGTTAATATTAAATTACTTTGAAAATCTAATTCTCCATTCAGAAATAATACATCATTATATTTTCAAACACATGCAATGTGTAAGGTATGTGTCTTTACGCAACTCCAGAATATCAAAATTTACTTCCAGCTATTAAGAATAGAAAAAACAGGGATTGATATATAATACTGCCAGACAATAACAATTATGTGATGTATATAATCCTTTCAGAAGAAGCTTTGTAATTAACATATGCTTTGTACAGTATTAATAATAAGCTCTACATAAACATTCTGGTGAAAAATGAGAGAATATACGCAAATATATGTGCATAACTTATATACTTTAAGGAATTGCATGAGAAAGAACACATGTATAATATATTTACAAAGTGAAATCGTGCAGGCCGAGCGGGGAAGAACTTTCGGAAAAGTTGCCAGAAGCTCGGAGTTTCGCGGTGTACTGGAGGAAGAGCGATAAAGCTTCAATTAAACCCCCGTGTTTAACCTCACTTTCTGACGGTTGAGGATGTACTGACCTGATTGCGTGGCGAGGATGTTGGACGGTGTATCATGATAAAATTACATAACACCGGCTACGTTATCGATGCGCGACCAAACGTTATCTCGCACGAATTGCTACAACTGGCTCGATGGGAAATCGCGGAAATCGATCAGTTAAGGATCCCTCGATCCCCGTAGATATTCTTTCTCTCTCTCTCTCTCATCTACGGAACATGAAGCATTCTACATGGCACACCACATGATCAAAGTCGTATCACGTCAATGACGAACGGATATTTCCTCGGATTGTTCCACGCACACCTATACGTGCAGTCATGCGTCTCTCCACGTCAAGTCGTAAACAATTGTGAGATAGCGGCTAAGTGACCAGCTGGTGACCGCTTAGCCGCTATCTATTTGTTTTTTAACGACTTCACCGAAGTCATTACACAGTCAGCTACTAAATCTTTGGCTACATTCTTGAAATTAATTAATTCATCGATGTGTCGTCCGAGAGATTAAAGTCCACCTGATAAAAACAACCGATCGAGAAAAAAATCATCGGGCTTGTTTACCAAAACTACGTGGATATTCGCTGCATTTTGAAATAAATATTTAATCTCGGTCTACAATAGGTGTTTTAAGCTTTAAACTTTAAAAAATTGACCAATCACAGTCGAGTGTGAAGAGAATAATCAACTGTGATTGGTCAATTTCTTAAGGCTTAAACATCTATTGTAAACCGAACTTAATCCCGTATCAGACTATGGATTGGAGATTGGCCGCGTTCAGTAGAACGTTTAGTTTGCAACTTTTGAAAGTTTCTTGTGCTGATTGACATTATTAGATCTAAAAGAATAATCCAACTTCAGCTCAGAGAACTTCCAACAATTGCAAATTAAATGTTCTGCTAAATGTGACCACTGAAATTAAATTGAATTTGGTCAATCAATAGGTCTGTTCGTTTTCGCTTCATCGCTGAACTAGTGCAGCGAAAACGAACAGACCTAATGCAAAGTTAACTGAACTCAAGTTCAGTGAGATTTAGTGAAGTTAGCACTAATTGGTCAGATTTCTTCCATCTCAATCCTAACCCGTAGTCCGATACAGGCATTACATGCAGATGATTTCCACGTCACTGATCGTTTTGCGTTATACAATTAAAGATGAAGGCGCGACAAATTGAATACGATAAAAATTTCTGTGAGAAGAAATTTCTGTGGAGATACTTGTATTTCTTTCTGATATGAGGGATCTGTCTTTATTGCAGGAATTTCTAGTGTCACTATAATTGTGTGAAATTTATTCGCCTTTATACAAAACTTCGTATTTTACAGGTACATAACCTAAGTTAAACTAACCTAACAATTTGATGTGTAAGAAATGCTTCTTATTTTGGTTACAAATGTTGGTTAACTGTAGCCCTACATAACGTCTTCGCAGCACGTGATTGCTTTTGCCATTTCTAATTGTATTTACCGTCATAATATGGTCATTTTATGCGGTTTATGTACATGAAGTAACTTGAATATTTAGTATCCTCGAGATCAAATAATTATGGTATGTGATAATTAACAGTCATTTATGATGGCGCGAATAAAATAACAAATCTGTTTTTTGTAAAATAAGGAATTCCATTCTTTGGATGTTGTAATAACTACTGTAGAAGCTTTTCATTGTATTGAAGTTTCATTGTATTGATGTGTTACTAATCACAAATCAGAGGAATTAAATATAATGCAACAGTAGTATACTTAATAATGACATTTTATGTTTTAGGCGATGAGCATGGCGAGAGGAGCAAAACTAGTCTTTGGTAGAGTGAGTGTTTTAAAAGAACGCTTATTTTCACCTAAAAATTTATTATATACAAATGTAGGAATATCAATTTTTCTATCTGGTGCCGGAGATGTTATAGAGCAGCATTATGAAATATTGAAGGTTTGATATAAATATAGACTTACAGCATTCTTATGTATGCAATTTTTAAAGTATCGCAATAACTTCTAACTCAATAACAATCTTTTTTATCTCAGGGTCAGTGGGACAGGTGGAGTTTTACCAGAACAAGAAACATGGCCATATCCGGTATGTCTATTGGGATACTCTGCCATTACTGGTACAATTTCCTGGACGCCAAAATGATTGGACGTACCCTCGGTATAGTTCTAAGAAAGGTGGTTATAGATCAATTGATTTGTTCACCTTTTTGCATAAGTGTCTTTTTCTTGACATTAGCTCTGCTAGAGAACAGCAGTCTGGCAGAACTGAAGGAAGAAATCCGAACAAAAGCACACAGACTGTATATAGCTGAGTGGATCATATGGCCTCCAGCGCAAATCATTAATTTCTATTTCCTTCCCACGCGATACCGAGTGCTCTATGACAATACGATATCCCTTGGCTATGACATATACACGAGCCATGTGAAACACAACACGTAAACAAGCCGATGATAATCAGCAATGGTTACTGTCGCACTGACTAGTTGAATTTGCAAAATTATCAACGTAAAACACTTTAGGTAACAAATTAAATAAAATTCCCATTGTTCAACAGGAGTTTCACTTTTATCACGACTCTTGCTCCCGCAAGAACCAAGATTTTCACGGTTTCTCTACAATGACACGTTTACAACAGTGTATTTAATTAGATGCATTATGTATTACACATGTACGTATATTGCAATTTTAAATTGGACAATTTTATAAAATTGTGAAACACGTGGATTACAAATAAGACATGACATATAAAATAAATAAACTGCTGTTTTTTTCCAAATGAAATATTGTTTTGCCCGAATTATATATATATATATATATCATGATGATATGCAATTGCCACTTCGTCATGTAAGAAAAGCACGATACATGTCTGTGTGTATCTAATTTCGCTCTAATCTTTCGCTACTTATGATATGAAAATTTATTCTCTGTATATTAATACTGCAAATATTTTCTGTAACTTTTATAAAGACGAGGCTCCTATTTTTTTTTTAAAACATTCCGTCATGAATGCCGATAGGTACTAACACGGTGATAAACAACAGCAGATTGCGAGCTACTAATTTCCAGTCGTTTGGCACCGCGTACGGTGCCAGTACATGCGTCAATCTGTGAATCTGAAAGACGAAATTCCCATCCCTATGTAGATTACAATTTTTGCTGAAATTACACAATCTCACGTCTTAGTAATGGGAGAGACAGTCCGTATTTTTACCTCATGACTGGCGCAGATGAATATGAACGACGTGACCAGTAGATTCAATACTGGGAATCTTGGTAACAGTACGAGCACTCCGTGCGAATCTGCCGCCAGCCATATGTGGCCCTGCGCGACTAGAGTTTCCAAACTTATCCTACCCAGTCCAGCCAAAAGCGCGGAATGTTTCCCCCTTAGTGCCAAGGACGCGTTTCGCAAAGCGATATATCCTATAATCTACAATCGGACAATAATTAAATATACAAATGAAAGTAAATATCTATGAATTGAAAGCAAATCGCTATTATCGGTGGGTGATACGTTATAACTTTACTGTGAGTTTGAAAAATTCGAATGTTTCAATTTAGTAAACCCTCTTCATTCAGTGACAACACAATATCAATATATAATTGAAGATGCGATGAAACGGGACGTCTGATAGCCTACCGGAATAAAAGCGACGTAAGAGTGGATCTCTTCGCATTCTGATACAGAATGGCACAAAATCGTGAATGTGGTGTACGCTATGAGGGAGACCAACGCCAGCAGAGAGGACAGAGCGGTGCCCGGAATATGATCTATTCGTTGAAGGGCTACGAGGCCAGCTCCGAAGGTCAAGCCCCAAGCCACGCTGTATCTGTCGACTCTCCAGCGAGACCACCACTCGCGAATGTCGTCGTCGGTCGTTACGAACAGTGCCTTCCAGGGTCTCGTAACGAAAACTTTCTCGAAGAACACCTGCACTGATGAAGCGTGTTACACCTCGAAATTCAAGACCCTAAAGAAAGGTCGTCTATATTACCTCTGACATGTACAATATGGTGATTATCGACACGAGTCCCAGCAGCTTCAGAGCGAAGTACAATAAGACCCTCGGGCCGTATTCTGCCAAACTTCCAGAATATATTCGAGGCGGCAGCCAGGCCAGGAAGTAAATAACTAGGAACCAGAACGACACTAACGGCACGAAGTGGTAGAACTGGTAGGGCCTGTTCATGCAGAGGCACAGCGATACCGCCAATAAATTTAGCCTGAACATGACCTGTAACACAGGGATTTGTTTCCAAGCAAAAATGTAATCTCAGTAAAAATAACACGACTCTTCTGATACGTACTCTGGCAAATCTGACGAGGGATACGTCACCGGTTTGCCAAAAATAACAAAAGTGCCCGTATCCAGACAAAAATAAGTAAGCAGAGTTAATTAATCTTAAGTACATGTAAATGGGTAAAACATTTTTGGCACCGGTAACATGGTATATGAGCACGACCGCTTGCATCAGACCTCTCCATTCGTCCGTTTGCTCTCGATTTAACGCGCTTGGTCCTCTCTCACGATCTTCAGTGAAGAACAATCCAAGAGCCAGGATATAACCAAGTGGTAACCAAAAGCTGAATTCGCTGTAATATTTATTCTCCTTCATGAAGAAATTTGTCCTGCAGATAAAATGTGAGGTATGAGGAGAAGAGTCAGACATTAAAGATACTACGCACAGTGTGCAAATGAAACTGCAGATTCGGTTAGATATGTTATTGTTAGTGTTTGCCTTAGGTGATTTCAGATTCATCTGGATGAAGATGAAATGAAAATCCGAAAAATTCGTCTTAGATGAGATAAAGATGATTTTGCTTTTGATTTATCTAGATGATAGATAAGACAAGCAGCTCTACTTATCTAGATACTTTTTTATTGATTTTAGATGATATTGTTTTTATGAGAAACTTTAGAAGAATTTATAATAAAATTTACGCAGATCATAAAATTGCACAACGGTTAGGCAATTTGTCAACGTAATGACTCTAAGGATCTGACAAAAAAGACCAATAATTATTGACTGCTCACTCACAGTCTACAGTTTAATACGGGCTTAAAGTGGATTAATCAATTGAAACAAATAGTCTGTTCCTTTTAATTGCATTACTGAATTGGTGGAATAAGTTAAAGTGAAACAAGTGTATTTTAAAAATTATAAAACCGTAATTTGTTGATTCGTTGAAATCTAACCTCCAATCCCTAGTCTGATACGGGCTTAACACACAGATCTATATTATTTCATTCATTTGATCGAAAAATGAGTTCAGAATATGGACCATAGCATCATTTCAGATAATTTTTGGGTGAGATAATACTTTTTTTCATCTAAGATAATACATTTTGCATTTCTTCCATCTAGATAAAGATGATCTATTTATTCATCTGGATAATAATTTAATCTAGATACCGGAAAACACTGCGGTTATTGCTTACCTGTCGCACAAATAAAAATACGCCAATATAATCGAGAAGAGGGCCAATGACGTGATGAGAGTATAAAAGTCTTGCACTTCGGGTTGCTTAACTTGAATGACCTCCGAAGTGCCTGCTTCTTCTGCATCTTCCACTTCCTCGGTGGTGACGTGAGAATAAGACATCTCCGAACGATACTTGCAGAATTTTCTATATAGCCACGCGGCTCCTCCTATTGTTATACTGCGACAAATCACCGTGCTTACTTCCTTCGTGAAACACACACTGTTGATACATGAATAAAATAATCGAAACATTCTTTACCATAATGCGAGTGCGGACAGACTTAGCAGTTGCAAGGTGGTCGCTGGCTCGGGATAACTGCAGCAACTACCGTCGTCGAAATTCATATGGTCATTGCAGTACGTGTTTAACAGTATCTGAACTTTATGACGAAGTGACAATGGACTTGCCAAGTAGCCGTCTGGACTTTGTTCAAGGACACCTGTACCGACTAGTTTACTGCTTTGCCATATGTGAGTCTCACTGTGAGACAATATCTGTGTGTATGGCGATTTTACGAAGCATTTAGTATTTCTCCTTTAAAGAATTGACCAGAAGAATTGTATTACATTGATGTGTTACCTTCTCTGCCGCTTTGTTGCACAGATTAACCTGCTTGTTATCTAAGCTCGACAATTGTGCAGGCAGTCTTTCTTTGAGCACAGGATCTTGTAGGAGCCATAGAAACTGGGACCCCTTTTTAGCTAGGAAATCTACTGGCTGTACCAGCCGGATCAAGCCGGTACTGTATTCTGAATAAAGCTGCGTATCACTGTTATTGTTCGCGAGAATCACAGCCGCGGCGGAACCAGCGACGATCACGCTAGGTGCGTCTGTATTCTGCAACAATGAGGATACATTAAATTTGACTGTTTCACCTTTAATAATCCCGTACAGATGAACTATATATATATATATATGTCATGTTGTATAATATATAATGTGTACATGTTACCATCCAGCCTCTAAGGTCCATTATCATAGAATTATCAAGTCGTGGCCTCCATAAAAATTGCACATTTAACTTAAGCTGCCCGTCGTTGAAGCCCAAGTCCGAGTTCTCAGGCAATTCCGTGAGATCTGATGCTTTGCCATCGACCATAAATTGTGAGACAAAGGATTTATACAATTGTCTTACTCTAATATCGCCGATAAATGCGAAGTGATTACGGTGGCCCATGAAAGCTAGATACCGCATACATCTTCTGCTGTCTCTGTGTAAAAATAAAGATTTTCTTGTACGAAAATGCCCAGATCAGAAATGCTGAACATAATAAACATTTAATGTGTACTTTATGATGCCACTGCAACAGTATAACATGTTTAAAATATGTTTTGAGAAATATTCATTTATTATGCCACAATTTTAATCAAAACATTGATTTTTTATCAGCACGATAATTCCGAATTCATTGCGTTCTCTTTCAGGCAAAATAAGTAGCGATTTTTACGACATCAAAATATTGTCGTAATTTTCGTGATATCAGACGATTTTCTTTTATATACTGCTAAAATACTTGTTGTGTGAGGATGCATTCTAGTCACGATGTGGACAATATATTGAAATATGTCTGTCTAGGAATAGCTTGAAATAATTTAAATATGATAATCTTACGTTTGCGTGTAATGGTGCATCATGCATCCGTAGGGCTGCCATTCTTTATCTCCTTTATATCTACCTTCTGTCAATAACCATTTGCAAGAATCGCTACCTATAGATACATAAAGCAGAATATCAATGATTTATTTATTAAAGACACTTTAAAGAAGCTTAATAGCAATTAAAAAGATTGTCACATAATCAACGTCATAAAAACATTACCTTTGAACAAGAAACTTTCTAAGAATAGTACATGAAATAAGTAATCAAATCAATATATAGTGAAGTAACACACATTGGTTACGTTCAGAAAACATAACGGTTGAGTAATTCGTCAACATAATTCTAAATTTAGAGATCTAACAGCAAAGATCAATAATCATTGACTGTTCATTGATCGCTTGTGTTTTTTTAACACAGCCATTATTTCTATCATACCATAAATAAGATGTATGACTCCATGATATATAATGAAGCAGACAACAAGCGCAGTGGCTAATTTCTTTGCACTCGCAACTGTTATAAGACTAATGAAATGTTCGGCTGATGTCATGAAGGACTCCGATTTTGATTACGTTGACACTGGAAAAGTGGGAAAGAAGCGGAATTACTCGCACAATCCGGAATTTGCATCGATTATGCATTATTAATACCAGTGTCAACTTTATATATATGTATATGCATTTTCTATTCCGAATATGACAGAGAGTGAATCTTGAGTACTTGAATGTAGAATTGGAGATCCTTCTCAGGTGGAAACTGTTATTGCAATTGCTCCGATAATGATACACTCCTAAATTACTCCAACGATTTACGAGTGATTGCTCCGTTCTGCGCTTTCCTGAAATATCGTTCACGGTCAAAATTTCCGAAGAAACTTCGTTTTAACATATATATCAAACAAAAATGGCAAAATGACGGTACAAATATCATTGCATGAGCTTCAGCACGATTTGCAATTAGTGCGGCAAAACAACGTCACTACCGCATGCGGCGGATAGTATACTTTATTGGTTCCCATTTTCTACGTTGTAGCAACTGAGCCAATAAATTTGCATAGGAGTCTGCCCTTGAATTGGTTCGTCGCGTATGCGGCTGTCTACACTCCGGTGTATTACACTACACCTTTATTCCCCATCCTACTCCGTTCGCGTGTATCTCGAATCGCACGTGTCTCGCTTCGAGTGTAGAAAATCGCACAAGTACGACATGACGTTTGATTATTCGCGATGATTCATCCTGTGTTTACATGTGCGACGGGCTGTCGCGTGGATTAAATTATTTCAAAAGCGTACAACATGAGTCTCGAATCTCGAATTTCAGAAATAATACACAAAGTGATATTCGACGTGACTTCGATCCTCGTATGACCGAGTGGCTTGGAGAAACATTTTTCTTTTCTCCAATTGTAAAATAAATCCGGTCCAAATTGTACTTTCCATAGATTTTTTTTCATGCGTCGAGAAATACCGGGTATCGAGAATTATTACCTATACACGAGAACATGCTATGTTTATTTAACCGTTTCGGTAGTGAATAAAAATTTATAATTCTAAATTATTATAAATATTGAATAATGCACTTCCTTTTTTCTCTTTCTATTAGAACTGTTGAACTTACCGTGCCGCAAACCTGACACAGAGAGAAAACTCTCGATACCAATTTCGACGCGCGATAAGCGTTCGTCGCTTATCGTTCTCTGATATGAGATGATTAAGAATTCACCTATCCATTCGAAAGATATGCTACACACATGCACATCATGAATTATTGAACGAAGTTACTCCGTTATCTAGTCCAAATTGTTTCCCCAAGTAACGATCGAGTGAATTCATCGCGTGAGAGACGGTGAGTGAGAGAGAGTATGTGAGTGAGAGAGAGAGAGAGAGAGAGAGAGTTTTAAAGTGTCAAAGCTGCATACGCGGCTTGTAGCAGTTCGTTCTAAAATTATCCACTCCTGCATTCGTTGTGTGTTCAGTACGTCGCGGAATTCTCGTCGAGAGACATGCGTCGCATGTTCAGCGAGCACGTTTCTTTTACTCATCCTTCGTAAAAGGCATAAGAGGATCTTTTCCACGCGAGCGATCTCGTGGTCGTTCTGTTTCCAGAGATTGTCCGTACGTCCTTCAGGCGGGATCTCAAATCGTTGAGCGATTCAACGGAATATACAAGATCCAACGAGTCAAAGACGCAACAACGGTAACAACAACGCATCATAGCGACGACGAAACTTCGAACACGCGACACTGCGAATGTGAACCACACAGATTTACACCTGCCCTCTCCCCGCTCAGCTGCACCTTCATTGCACTCAAAGTGGACGAGCGTATTCGCGCTCGAGCGAAGAGCGAAGGACGAGAAGGTGCAACCGGAGAGAGAGAGAGAGAGAGAGAGTGTGCAGCGGCAACCTATTTCAAAGGGCGTTTTGCGCCTATTGCGAGACCGCAACACCGAGGACCGCGGTGGGTTCCGATTGGCCGGTGGCACGCTTACCTCCCGTGACGTTTGGGATTCGATGATCCGCCTGTACCGTTGCGTAGGTCATATGATTCTGTCATTCGGACTCGTAACGAGAAATTGACAGATCTCTCGTCGGTGTGTGATCGGGTCGTGTCACACGCTGTCACCGATTGGCGGGCGCGACGTATACATATGTGCGACGAGTGACGTACGTACCCGCGGCAGAAGACACGCAGTCAACGCACACACAGGTCCTACGAGGTTCTACGAAAATGTCCCTTTTCGGAATGGTCAATCCCTTTTCCACGCCAGTAGGACAAAAGATCGGTAAACGCCTTATTTTTATCTTCCTCGGTTATCGAATCGTTGTCGATATTACGTAGTCCTCTCGGGCTTCCTCTCGTCCTCACTCCGACGCGCGCGAGAGAGAGAGAGAGAGAGAGACCCGAGAGAGAGTCAATCGGTCGCAGTGACTCATGATTGTGTACGCACGATTTCAAGGAAATTCGTACTCACTGCGGAGGAGAAACGTTGTTGAACCGAGCCGAAACTGCAACCGGTGACAGTAAATGCTGCCTGGGATGCGCGTCTACAGTATTATTTATTTTGTTCTTACAGAGTCCGCTACGGACGGTAACTTACCAAGTGAGAATTGGACACTTAACATGGAGATATGCGACATTATAAACGAAACCGAGGACGGTCCGAGGGACGCTATCAAGGCGATCAAGCGCAGACTTACCCAAGCGGCGGGCAAAAATTATACCATAGTCATGTATACGCTTACCGTTAGTATCAAACCACGCTGCGAAATGCCGCATGCACCGAACTGTATCAGACACGGATGAAGTTTACATAGTTTCATGTTAGTTGTAAACTCTGTGCATGATACAATCGCAATTTTACGCGCGTTTGCAACGACAAAGTAGCACCGCAACTGCCGTAATCAAGCGTGCCATTTGATACTTCTGACCTTCAGTCAATTCGCACAATTAGCCCAATTAGATTCAGTAGTACTGTTGTGTGTTATTGTATCTTAGAGGACTATGATAATGTCTATTGTGTGTGAATATCACGTTAGCACGTGTACGTCGTGCTAGTAGTTACGTAAACGACTAGGAATAATATTGTTGTGCGATAGGTGCTGGAGACGTGTGTGAAAAACTGCGGAAAGCGCTTTCACGCTCTCGCTTGTTCGAGAGAATTCGTACAGGACCTGGTTAAACTGATCGGCCCGAAGAACGAGCCGCCCACCGCGGTGCAAGAGAAAGTTCTGAGCTTGATCCAAACGTGGGCGGACACATTCCGTCATCAGCCGCATACTCAGGGCGTTGTGCAAATTTATCAGGAGTTAAAGATAAAGGGCATACAGTTCCCGATGACCGATCTGGACGCCATGGCGCCGATTATTACGCCAGAAAGAGTGAGCTGTCCCGTTGTTCTTCGAATAGAATCTCGCTACCGTTTATTTCGTTATTACCGTCGAGCCTTCCTTTGAATATCACTTCTCCAGAGTGTACCTGAATCAGAGCAAGCTCCGGCGAGCCTGACCACTAGCGAGCAGCCTGCATCGTTGGGAACGCAACCTGTACCACCGCAGACGCATTCTGTCGGCCAGTTAACTCAGTTGAACGAGCAGCAAATGGCCAAGCTGCAAAGTGAACTCGACGTCGTTCAAGGAAATATGCGCGTGCTATCAGAGATGTTGGCATACTTGACGAGTCCGGACCAAAGCAGTAATCAGCAACCAGATTCCGCGGATCTTGAATTATTAACCGTACGGATCCTGTTTGCTTTTCATTTGGAATTCATCTAGATCTATCATCATCTCGTGTCTATGCTAATTTACGCGTGTGTGCTTCGCTGAGATATTTTTCTCTTTTGCGAGATTATACTATTTGTCAATTTTAATATGCAGATTTATACTACCAACTGAAAAGTGTACGTTATATAAGTGTTATATAAATGATCGTTCGCAGGAGCTTCATTCGACATGCAAGGCGATGCAGGTTCGTGTTGTCGATTTAATCGGCAAACTGGCCCACGATGAAATGACAGCTGAATTATTGCGCATCAACGACGAGCTGAACAACCTCTTTCTTCGTTACTCGCGCTATACGAAGAATAAAATGCAGGTTCCGGCGAGCGCTATACTAGCTCAGACGATTGGGCAGCCACCGAATATGGAATCGTCTCCACCTGTCACCAAGAAAGAAGGGGAGTCGTTAATAGATCTGTCCGATGATATGGACGGCATAACGAAACAGATAAGCGAGTTAGGTGAGCGTTAAAATAGCGAAAATTTAAAATTATAAAAAAAGATTGTGTCGAGCTGTAAAATTTCTGACAAAGTGACTTACTCGCATATTCAGCCGCGTTTGTACCTGACTTTGTCTCGAGAGACTGATACAAAATATTATCTCACCTTTCGTTGAACACAATAGGTGCAGCCGAAGGTGTGGACAAAAGCAAGGCGGAGCGAAAGGAGAAGAAGGAAGGAGAGAGCGACGAATTCGACATGTTTGCACAATCACGCAATGCAACATACGAGACAACAAAGAATAGGTGCAGTATCTTATTGTCACACAATTGAAATTACTACATTTGTAACTGCGTGTTAAAGTTTTTTTCTTTTTTTTTTTTTTTTTCATTACATTACATTGAATCTGCGTCTTCGCAGCTTCTTACATAGCTTGTTAACATATTACTTTATATTATACAAATGAGCATCGTATGATAGAGATATCAATTCAAAATAAGATACTTCAACAGGAAATATTAATGCACAATGCTCTAATCGTTCTCCGTGAATCACCATTATTTATGGCATATATTAATTTGTAAAACCGGTAAGATGAGACAACACGCAGTTTACATTGAATATTCAATCATTTCGAGGCCTGTCACTTTACACACACACACGCACAACTTTGCTTCGGTACATATATATTTTTATAGTTTATATACAATTACGATCTGATATTTCCGATTGCAGTGGTAGCAAGTACGAGGATAATCAGGAGCAGGTGAGAGGTGGGAGCCTAAGTACAGCGATCCTCAACCGCAATAACCCTAAAATACCGCAGCAAGCTGCTTCTGCTACACAAGCTAATGTGCGTAACTTCCTTTCATCCTTAAACTAGCTGTTAGGATCAACTTAGTAGTGACTTATTAAGACTTTTTCTCACACGACAAATTTACTTTTATACATTCGTTCATTTTTATATAGTCAAACACGAACGTTCAAATCCATCTATCTTTGATGCTGACTTTAATATGACAAATGCAGTAAAAAGTAGGGCTGAGTAATCTTGAGAGATCTAAGTGTTCACAACACTTATTATAAATCTCTATTATCAGAGACAACTTCGAATGTATTACAAATTATTTGCTAACTAAAAATACTAAAGAACTCTGTTCTAGAAGTTTTGTTAGAATTCTTTAAAAATGTTATCTTTATCGAGGTTATCGAGAAAAATATATTTGAGGTTGTTTCAAACGCGGAGAAATACTATAGATGAAGTTTGAAAGACACACACACGTACATACTAAAGGGGCACAAGGTACAGTAATTTTCTTGGCACAAATCTTGCTTATATATATGTTAAATATTAGCTGTCACACGTAAATACATACGTTGCTTTCAAAAGAGCATGAAGATATATCTAGATTTTTATTATGTTATTGTTGGGCTTTGTTTACATCGACGTTATCATATATTGTTTGCGTTTCCTCTTTTATCGTCTCGTTCAATGTTCGTGTTTGTTTTTCGATACTTAGCAGAACCTGGAGTCTGAATTCAGTGAAATGGCGGCCTGGTTAGATCGCACGGTAAGTACCGTACGAAATCGTGAATTGTTCCGATGATAACCGTAGCTGAATTTCAGAGATCGCGTATATTTCGCATCAATTTCCGAGTTTCTACACGTTTTTGCCTTCACGATGAATCCGCTGGGAATGCCATATAATATACATGTACGTATATTTTTGTATTATAGCCCGGAGCGCAGGGCGATCAGGAATCACTGACGTCATCGGAATTCGAGCGGTTCTTGGCGGAACGTGCGGCCGCGGCTGAAGCTTTACCGAATCTCACCACAACTGCCAGCACGAATTCAACGTCGACCACCGGTAACCAGAATATTCAGCGTCAAATTAACAAAGATCAGGACAAATCTTNCTTTAAGTACCTCCAAATCCCCCCCCCTTCCCCCCCCCCCCTCCTTCTCCTCGTCGTGAAAATGGGAAGATACATTTCTTGAGAGAGAGTGTGTGTGTGTGCTTGTTGGATAGCACACACACGTCTCCCTCCACTTTTCCCTCTGAAATTAAATCGCACTCCTAATACTATCGACGATTTAAATATCAATTTGTATTTTTAACATTAGGAGTTGGAATGAGAATAGAATGGAGACACACGAGGGAAAAGGTACACGCAAAAGAGATGCTTTGTGCTTGTACGTACTTAATAACGTAACAGATACTACACAATCATGTTCGAGATCTTACTTCTGTTGATAAAACTACGGTTATAATGTGGATATAAGTTGCTTTAAAGTTATGCAAAACCATTGCAACTGACTATTACGTAAATGATAGTGCGTTAAGGACTAATTTATGTTTGTATATAAGCTACACACACACACACACACAAACACACACACACACAAAATGCGTCCACGAAGTACCCAAGTCACATGACAAATTCTTGCTATTGTAATGCCTTGAAGCCGCGAATGGAATGTGAAATCACGCTCGCTCACGGATTTTCGAATCGATGCATGAATATTCGGACCGGAGGATCCCCAGTTGAACAATTGATCTTATCATACATATTGACGAACTATTTTTCTGTGTTGAAGTCAATTCTGTCTCAACTGTTTGATATTCTATACAGAGATACACAGTCTACACGAATTAATTATTATTTTTACTATTGTAATTCCTATCATTCTAGAGTCTATTATTGACATAAATTAGTAGCATGAATTTATTATTATTATTATTATTATTATTATTATTGCTATCATTTTATATATATATATATATTGCAGTTATGTAATAATATTATGAATGATTAATATATTCTGGAGTCACATTATAAATGCAGCCGTGATATCAGTGACCAAAGGTCTCTCCACGTTCTGTGTTTACAATCCCGAAAGTGATATTTTTAGGCTCTCGGCTCTCAGAATTTTATCGATTCGTCTGCATTTAATGCTGTACCTCCCGTCTGATTTGCCTATGTTTCTACTGTATTTTACCGCGTTACCTAATTCGAATTAGACGGTTAAGAAAAGTACACCTGCGGTGCCTGTATTGACTGAACTCGCAGTTGATAAGGATAATCTGTACTCTTCACTTATGCAGAAAATAAAACTGTATATCGCAATCAAGTTTCGCACGCTCGTAATTATTTTACACGCTCATTATTTTCTCCTCTACATTATGCTTTCAGATGAAAATTAACTCAACGTCAATTATTCCTATCTATGTCCATCGCTTTGTCTCAAAACCTTCGACATCGAATAAATCTTGTTAGAAATGAAAAAAACGTGAAATATCTTGGGATATCAGTAATCTTTGTATATTTATGCACACAATCAATCTCGATTTTATTACACAAATATCGACGTTCTCTCCGCCCGCGCTTCTACCTGTTTCCAATTGTTTGTGTAGTTCATGCGCCGTCCGGTAGGCAGCGCCAGTCGATGATTTCGTAAGCTGTAGGGGGTTACGGTTTCGCCGGGAGTACCGCCGGAGTTGTCACGTTATCGGTGAGGTAGTTGCAACAGTTTGCTCGGGAACGGTGTGAGCGTGATAAACGATAGTATTCTCGAATGATCTGGTGTTGCGCTCGCGAAAAAGAAGGATCTCCGCATTCGGCCGACGAGGATCATGTATACCGTGTCAAAGGGACCTAGCAAGATCGTAGCGAAAACACGTCGAGGTACTAAATTTGGATTTTCTCTCGATGCCCGCTTCCTCCAGAGGCGCATTCGCTATGTGTTTAAAAGTGCGTGCGGAGTGATATTGTGAATTGGATTTGTCGTTTTTTTTTTTTTTTCGCAGGGATCAGTCAGAATTTCGAGAGGTTAGAAACGCTGCGCGACCTCACGAAGAAGACCGGTCTTCCCGAGGAGAATCACGAGATCACCCGGTAAGAACGTTTTTTTTTTTTAAATCCCTCATCTCAATGTTGCCTTCCAAGTCCTCTCCCCGTTCTTTTCGTTCACATACACACACACACACACACACAATCTCTCTCTCTCTCTCTCGCTCGCTCGCTCGCTCGACATTACGCAATTCGTAATTTGTCCTGTGAAAACGCCGAAGTTATTTAGCATATACGACATGTTATTAGTATTCCTGGCAAGTTTTATTACGAAAGTAACACACAAATATATCGAAACCAGTTTTGCTTTACATTCCTTGTGATAAACGACTTGAATATTTTCGATCACCTTAATACTCCATCACGTGTTGCGTAAGACGCGGCACACGTGTGTAACATTGCATGATAAAAAAAAAATGATTTGTCTCATTACTTATATTGAGGCTGCTTTTGTTTGTTCTGTTGTTGTTCGCAGTCACGTACCAAAGCCAGTTTTTCACATGAATGGAAAGTCAAAGCTCACCTCACAGAGGCATCAGATGCAAGAAGTTATCACACCGCAGCACGAGGAACTCATCAAATTTGTTTATGAATGTAGGTAAATGTATCAATGAGAATATGTAGTATAAAACATAGAAATAGAAATATTGAAAATTGTGTGACTACAAAGAGACACACCGCATGTAAAATTACATGCTTTATATTATAAAGAAACAATATCACGTTATGTTGTTTATTATTTTTACTTTTATTAGTTTTAGATTTGTAGATCTATATTATATAATTTTAGATTTATTTATTTAGCTATATTGCCAAAAAGGTTATTCTCACTTACATATTTTGCATAAATCTAATTTATTATTCTCAACAGCATGGAATCAAGTTAATACACGACAAACAAATGACTGCTGTGATGGCACAGAATGTACAGAATTTAGCAGTAAGTATAGCAATGAAATAAGTTAAAATTAATGATTCATTTGATCAAAGCTGCTTATTTTTCAAGATTGTATCAGAATGTAGCACTGAATATACCAAAGAAAAATATCACAGACTAACGATTGAATGTTTCGTTTTTGTTACAGATTCTAATTCAATAGTATATTACGATGGTGAGCCAAATAGTAGCCTTCAAGGTAAACAACGTCACTATTTATATTTAAATTTCACTGAAGAATGTTACATTGATATTTTACAAATCACTCGTGAAGATGATTTTCAAATTGTACCGTACAAATATTTGATAATTGTATGACAGTTTGCATATATTACTTGCTGCAGTAAAAATTGTACAAGTGTACAGTTAAAATTGTAAAACTGTACAAGTAATTGTACAAGTACCGAAGGTCACTGTAATACAAATACTATATTATTTCAGATTTTAAACCATTCGATTTGGAGTCTTGGTGGGGCAAACGATTATTCAATAATATCACGAAGTCTCTCTGAGACATTCAGATGGGTGAAACTGTTTCTTCCTGGGGGTGAAGTATGAGATAGTATACAACAGCAGCTGGTGCCATACAAATTAGCCTATGTGTCGCGTGTCGTGCGTGATTTAAACCTGATCAGGTCCTGAAAGTTGCTATAAAAATAGTGTTGAATATAGAGTTCGGAGGAGATGAGCTCGATATGTATATGTATCGAGTCTTATCGAATAACCGGCAGAAATATCATTCAAATTGCACATATAATGCGCATACATAACGCCTCAAGGTTGCCGGGCAACAAATATAAAGTCGGAACATGCGCGACAGCTTCAAAGCGTGCACGCGTGCGTGAGTAGTAGTCAAACCATCGTTACTATGAATTGTTTACATGCATTTGTTTGTTAACGATCTTTTTACGAAATATAGAGATATTTCTTTATTGTCGCTTTATTGTTAGAATTGCTCAATTTTAATAACGCGGAGCGTTAGACACTCCTGTACAGAGAGAGAGAGAGACAGAGAGAGAGAGAGAGAGAGAGAGAGAGAGAGAGAAACGCTCACGAGCAAGGTCGCAGAACTTTCAGTAGACAATAAGTAGTGATAAATGCAAAATACACGCAATCGCAAGCCTCATTCGTCGTTAGAAGATACTGAGTTCCGATTAAGTTTTAAAGATTTACACCAAAGCAGAGAAGGTGCGTACCAAGTAGGGCTAAGTGCAAATGCGAAGATCGCCCGTATTTCTCTTCCCGCCATATATATGGTATGAGTCCTGCGTGAGGTCGATGAGTTTTTAATCATAGAATGATGTACATATTGCATGCAATGGATCGCGTGAATGCATGATAATGTTGCGGATATTATACAAATTGTATCCGAATATTAATACTTTTATGTATAAGCGAGGATTTAGCATAAATTCGTAGACTGATAACATTTAAGAAGATTATTACACCGTTACTCGCCGGGTCGTGCTTTTAAATGTGACCCGCGTCGCAGAGTATCATTCATCGAATCGTTATATCATGGCCGGTTGAACTGTTCCTTCCTCCATATTGCGTTACATATTTCCGTCGGACTATTATTATACATTAGGAGAAAAAATGTATATGAGCTTTCGGCCGGCGATAATTTTGGAATTTTGTCGCGGCATCGCGTCCGACATAAACGAAAACATAATTCGCAAGGAGTAGTCGAGATGTAGTACAATGAAATTCGGCTACGCATGGCTGAATTACATGATGAATAAATACCTCTTTATACAAACATGCGATGTATCTTTTTTCATCCTCTACTTGATTTCTATTGTTTTTACGAAACACTTATCGTCGAGTCAATATGATAAGGTTCGCGATGTGAAATGTAAGCAATGGCAACCTTTTCTGGCAATATCATGGATAGATGAAAACCTATGATATTAATATATGATTTATAATAATAATATAAATAGCTAATATAAATATAAATAGCTAATTAATACTTCTTGAGATTGTAAAATTGCATTTTATTATAAGGTGATATGAGTACTATATAATCGGTATAAGAGTAACTAAATGATTTGGTAATCATACATAATATGAAAGATTTCTTATGTTCTGAGTATGTATAGATAATTCATTTTAATCATATATTTTATTTCATTTCGATTTTAATATTTAAACCCAATGCAACAACATATTTTGAATTGGCACGATATTATAAGTTTATAAAATTTCTACTAATTTATTGTATTACATATTTTTATATACTATTGTTATTATAATATATATGCGAGCATAACACACACACATACACATATGTACATTGACCAATAAGAAAGCAGATACAAGCCGCCATATTAACATGCAGGATGCACGTTGTACACATGTCTCGTGGTTTATATATGTCAGCTTACATTTATGTATAAATTTCTTGTATGATAAATTCCAAGGAGAGACAATTCGTTTTTCAAGTTTGTGATATAGATTAATAAGATGTCATACGCAGAAGGAGAATATTTTCAGGTTATATAATCAAGTTGTATAATTCATTATTGTAATGTTATGGTTATATCATATATATATGTATTTTGTATCGTTTAGTGAAAAAGTTTCTTTAATTATAGACATACGAGAGTAGTATTGAGAATATGGGACCCACTTTGCAAATTCAAAATAGCCCAGTGTTTCTTGTAGCTTTATCATTTGCATGCGAAGCCTTGATATCGTGTGCCAAACAATTGAACATAATAGATGAAGAATGTGGCAGTGGAAATTACGGCAGCACACTTGCACAGAGTGCAAGTGTCATAAAAATAGAAGTGAAGGTATTGTACAATATACAAGGTAAATCACAAAATAAATCTGGCTTCATTAGTCACTAATCATCTATGTATTATTTTATATATTGCAGGAAAACAGAATTTCAACAACAAGACCTTCCGTAGCTCTTACACAAATAAGTAGAATTATCGAAAGAGAATCGGATGGTTTAGAAGGTGGAATATACTCATTATTTTTCGACGCTGCTGCCAAAGTAAGATCATCCATGGTATAGTCATTTTTTTTTTATTTGGAGAAAGGAACCTTGAAAGGGTGAGAGGGAGAGAGGGGTATTTCAGAGCTTCGAAAAGTTTCAAAATGATGAGCAATTAACAGCTGATATGTGGTTGACTGCTTTAACATCCGCGAACCAAGCGATATCCGAGGTCAGTGGAATGTCGATCGGCGATCGATCTATGTTGGATGCTCTAATACCTGCGGAACTTAAATTAAAAGATGCGTTAGATTTGGGTTTAAATCCTGTCAGTGCATTTGGGAAAGCCGTCGAAGCAGCTGAGACTTCTGCTATGCAAACTCTGCACATGCCAGAACATCGTTTCGGTTTCACGAATTACAAGGTATTACTCGACTTTATATTGACGCATTCCCGATGGGAATATTACATTGAAAATTTTACTGAAATTCTATCTCAATTGATCCCATTTCATCTATCGTTCCGTCAATGTACGCAATTTGCAACTAAATTCGATAAATTTCAATAGTATACTTTAATTTTTTTCAAATACTGGTACTAAGTACTATAAATTCGACGAACAATGAGACAAAAGTTACTGAAAAATTACCGAAATATATAACAATAAATATTTCAAAATAAATCATAATTTTAGTTATAAAATTTGATGTAATGCTGTGAAATATAATGAAAATTAAAGTATAATTCTGAAAAGTAATAGAAAAATTGTTGAAATATCAAGAAATTTACTGAAAATTAAACTGAAAACTGTGTATATTAACTTTAATGACCGCTCACACAACAAGTATGATAGTCGGAACAACTGTTATTGTCCGCTCACACATGTGTGATGCTTAGCGCCTAAGATTATTGGCCAGTAATCCGCCAGTGTACCACACTCTCTGTGTGATGATTCATGAATGTAAACAAGAATTATTTCGTGAATTTTAATAAAGTTTTTTTAAATTAATTCATTTATCAAAAAAATTGCCCCTGGCGACGTTTGACTGCGTAGACGTGCGACCATTAAAATATTAATGAAATGGGGTCGATTGAGTGAATATTTCAGCAAGATATTTCCATCAGGGATCTCACGTATACCGTTTGTTTAGTGCTATTCATTGATGAAATTGTAACTTATATTTATATTAGACATATTTATATTATATGTTTATATTATATGTATTTATATTATGTATACTTATGTTATACAGACATTCAAATATCCGGATCCTGGAGCACATGCTGTGGGTATTTGGATGAGAGCTGCTTACGAAGGTGTCAAACTGAAATACGGTTGTTAATATGATACATAGGGAAGAAATAAAACATCTTGCTCTTATATTTTGTTAATATATCCCGCGTGTTCCATTATTATTATTTGTTCATAAGATTTGTGGTTTCCTAATTATGGACTGTAGGTTATTTCAGCGTATGTTAAGCACCTAGAGATCAGCAACCCGATATGCAATAATGTAAATTTAGTTTGTCGTGCATGTATAAAAATACACATACATACGTCATATGTGTATGTACACGCATACATACGTATTTGCTGCGCGAGCCAATGTCGCGATTAGCTATCATAATGTCACGTGTCTCGGTCTCTCGACTTCATTTTTGTTTTATCACGTGAAGAGGATGAAAAAAAATCAACTTCGCCGCGAACTTTTGCTAAACGAGTAAGCAGGTAAAGCAGATGTCGATTATTATGTTGTGAAAAAATGTCTCAATGAAGGTTATGTTATAAAATTGCTGTATACCTCTTAATTATATACGAATGATAAATCGGAACTGTATATTAAATTTATGTTTATGTGCATTATATATTATATTTCCTGGGCGTTCCATGTGACACATTTTAAGGAAACTTAACGTGCCTTCTATTTAAACTATATTAGACATTTTGAGTATCTAACACAACTGTACAATATTGTTATAATATATAATTCTTCTTATTATGACATGTATTGTGTGGACAAAAATATAGTCGATTTTTATATTTATAATAGGTATAATTTTAGGCTATCAGCTGAGCGCAGCATATAGGATCATGCGAAGAGAGACGCACAATATTGAGTTCTCTAAAGATAAATTGAAGAAATATTCAAAAATCAGTGTGCGAGAGCAATGAATGCTGCAATTGCGTTATGTACCTTCTGTGAAATACACGGGCCCAAAGTGATATTTACTACACAAACATATCGCAACTATGATATGCAGAATACAGAAAAGCTCAAGTTTTATGGACCTAAGGAAGTATTGAGGCAATGCCATGTATCCTTGGAAGACGGACAAGATGAGTGCGAAGGTTGTCAAAGCATTGGGAATATTAAATATTTAAGTAATGATCACGACACAAGGACATCTTTCTTATCCGCTCAGCAATCATTAATGCAAGATATTGGAAACTTGTTAAAGCATGCATGTATTAGGTACAATGATTATATATGATATTTCATTCTTTTGTGAACTTTAGAGGCCTTGAATTTATTGTAGGAATCAGTAAAATTTAATCAGACAAATTGAAGCGGTAGACTTATTAAATTTGTTGTGCAAATTAGATTTTTTTTCAGAGTTCTCTCGTTATTAATAATTTTTCATTTCAAGGAGCCTGAGCTGCGAGGTACATCCTGGTAAGGAGGGTGTCTGCTACTTCGGAGATGAGTACAGGGGGCATGTTTTAAGTCATACTTTTACATTGAAAGACGCCCAGGTGAATTATGCAACGAAAAAGCATGTTTGGTAGTTATTACAACAAATTTTTCAAATCATGCCCTACTTAAGTTGTTAGAACTCGAAAAATTCTATCATACTTTTGTGTGTGATGATTTTCCCTCCTTTCCTCCGATTTCTCTTGAATAGAGGGATGTCTGTTTCTCGACAGGCAAGAGGTTTCAGGAGATGGTACAGTTTTATCGTTTTCATGAGGGACAAGCAATTTTTATTGAACATGTGGCCGTTCTTAATTGACAATTTGAAGGAAGTAATCAGAGAGCTGCAAGATTTCGCTGAGAAAAGATATAACGCAGAAGAGGCGGAATGTCCGCAAAGGGCGATGAGGCTGACTACGGCGAATAACGGGGCGGGTTGCCATAATGCTTCAACCAAACAGTCCAGAACGCTCACTGACATAACAAATGAGAAACATGTGTTTGTAAGGTATAATTATTATTAGTATGTGCTCTAATGTTATATATATAAAATATACTACCCGGGAAAGAAAAGATCACATATGATGCCCATGTATGACTATATGTCGAAGTAAGTGCTTCTGACAGCGCATGATATCGGCATTTAATTAAATGACATAACATCATTTTTTTTCGTATGGACATTTATGTAACCATATATATGGGAAAATTTATATATGACTTTATATAATTATATATAATCATATATGATCATATATAATCATTTTTCCCCGGGTAGGATTATTATAAGTTATATAGAAAAATATATATTTGTATGTTCCAGAATTCACATGTGGTTAGTATGGATTCTCAGTGCCGGTGCGAGACATTTCGTAGAGGTTTTCCCGATGAGTTTGCTAGACGACGAAATTAATTACAGTTTCGATAATCAAATTGGTTAGGACACTACCAGTACTCTCTTACCTATATACTAATGATTACTATTAAAACGTATCTTCTTGATATATCTATATCGTAAAATAGAGAAGGAAATTATCATGAATGACTTGCAGAAACTGAAGGAGGCTTCACTTTGGTGAACGCGAAACTGCCAATAAACCTGAACCTGTACTCGGACGAGTCGAAATTTTCGCCGGAGTTTTCCGAAATTACGGAGAAATCTACCGCCCTGATCTTAAGAGATCTCAAACGATTGCTCGGGAAGGATCAATTTAGGCAGCTGCTGTATTCCTGTCTGACTGGTGTTCAAATTCTAGTGAGAGGCCCGAAGATCCAACGATTGGAGTCCTTGTATGGACTTAGCAGTCTTGTGCCGAGAGCGTGTCGAAGGGTGAAGACGCAAACGTCCGAATACATGGATCCTGACGCTTGTAACTTTATCGGTAACCCGTCACTTTGTGAATTATTAATTTTTTTCACTCGTCACTTTGTGAATCATTAACAAATTTGGAGAAAGTATCTCTATATCATTCTGTTGAAAAAAAAAAAAACTTTTGGTTGAAATATTCCTAATCGAGTTTTTTCGCGTTGATATTTTTAGGAGTGGACACTTCGGTAGCGGTGCCCTTGCCCTGCGCAAACGTATGCAGATTAGATATAATACTCAACGAGCATCAGGTTGAGAACACAAATTCTCATATAGTCAAATGGACGGGTGTGTTGCCGGCGAAACTCCCGACATTGTTAGTGAAAATCGAGAAATCACTCGACAATGAGAAGCTCGGAAACTCGGTTCTCAGGGCGCATTTTGCGACTCTTCAAGAGGAATGGGCCAAGTATGGATTTATCTGTCGTTATATCTAGGATATCTCACCTTCTCTCTGCAAAAATAATTCCTATAACATCAGATTCTCTTTGATGGTATTATTTAAATTTTTATATACGGAGTGGTTCATATTTGAAGTGTTACATGCAGAGCAACTGCAGGATTAGTATGGGAGAGCAATTAGCAGTGATTAATATCGCGTTAAATTGTCGAGTCTTTGTATTAATATATATTCAATCACGAATAAGTGTAACAATTTTCGCAATACACCAAGCGGAATCAAAAATTGTTTTCTAATTAAGTCAGCATTACAAGGTGAAGGGGGTTTTTTTTTCAGGGGAATGAATTTTAATAACATTGCTGAAATTCAAGAATCGATTTAGGAAGATTGACTCACCGCGTTGTCTGAAAAAAACATTCGGCACTTGCGTTATATAATTTTATTCTCCACAAATAATATTAATACTGATAATATTAATATTCCAATGGCACTACAACATCTGTGCTTTGCTCTTAATGGCCTATTACATTTATTCGTGGTTAAAAACCAATTTGGAGGTTATCCTATTCTAATAATATATTTTTGTTATCGTCGCAGTATTGCGAAAGTTGTTCACGCGATGCATGGGCGAGGCCATCGCGGCGATCTCTCCGGACTCATGCTCAGTCTCGGTGCAGGACCTCAGGACAAGAAGCTGTTGGACGCCTGGTCTATGGGATTACCATCTAATCCAGCATAGTTTGCAGAGATTAATTCGTTCGATTATGTATGCGTGTGTAGTGTATCCATTGGGTAACATAATATTTATTGCAGATTACATACGTTCTTATTCAGGTTCCTTCACCTTTGTCCGAGGAATATTCGTGCGTTCAAGGTTGTGTCTCCTTTTTTATTTATGACTTAGTTAATAAAATAAAGGCAAAATATCTTGGTGAGCAGAGATTTATTACATAAGCATTATCGGCGAATAATTATTTCATAAGTACAGGGTTTGTCCAATAAATATTGGGACTAAAGTTATAAAAATAATTTGATTGAAGATATATGTACAGGAAGTTAATATTCTTCAAAATACGATCCTCCTGCATCAATACACCGCTGCCAGCGCTTCTTCCAGTCTTCATACGCCTCCTGGAAGTCGCCAACCGAAAGACTGTTCAGGCACCTCGTCGAAGCCGCTTGGACCGCCTCAATCGTCCGGAAACGATGTCTTTTCAGGTTCTTTTTGATCCGAGGAAACAAAAAGAAGTCGGAGGGAACCATATCTGGACTGTAGGGTGGTTGGGGCAGCGTTACAATGTTGTGTTTGGTCAGTGCCTCCCTCACAATTAACGACGTATAACTGGGCGTATTGTCGTGATGGAGCATCCAGGTATCGGCGATCTCCCTTCGGACGCGGCGGACCCTAATCCTCAAACGTTCGAGCACTTCTGCGTAAAATTTACCGTTTACTGTTTGTCCAGCAGGCACAAACTCCTTGTGGACCATACCTTTTTTGTCAAAGAAGACAATGAGCATCGATCTTACTCTTGATTTGCTCATATGGACCTTTTTTCGTCGAAGAGAGGCGCTTGTGTGCCACTCAGCACTTTGCCTTTTGGTCTCCGGATCGTATTCGAAAATCCAAGTTTCGTCACCGGTTATCACTCTGTCCAAAAGATCTGGATCGGCCTCCAAACATTCTAACAATTCACGACAAATCGTCACACGGTGTTCCTTCTGCTCGTCTGATAAAACCTTCGGCACCAACTTCGCGCACACCTTCCGCATTTGTAAATCATCGGTCACAATTGAATACACAGTGGATTTCACCAAATGTAACTCCTGTGCTATCAAACGAACACTTAACCGACGATCACAGTTCAAAAGTTGTCGCACTTTGGCCACGTTTTTGTGGGTCCGGGTCGATGTCGGACGTCCAGCGCGTTCTTCATCTTCAACGTCTTCCCGGCCATCTTTGAATTTTTTATGCCACTCAAAAACGCGCGTTCTGGACATAGCTTCGTTCTTGTAAGCCTTACGGATCATATTAAAAGTCTCCGTAGGAGATTTGTTCAGTTTAACATAAAATTTGATGGCACAACGCTGCTCGATGGTTCGCTGCATCTTGATTCTCGACGCGAGCACTAAACACACTTTCATTTCAGGCACGATTTACACATTCTAAAGACTAGGAGGCAACTGAGCCGGGTCTCCTAGTTCACGTAACATCACCGATCCCGCCCATAGAGATCGCCCTCCCTTCCCAATGGTCGGAAAAAATCAGTCCCTATACTTATTGGACAATCCTTGTATCTCCTGTTTCTCATCATTATATTTTATATTTAAGTCATCATAATATAAATAATATACGATAGCGTAATTGGAATAACGATAATTCTTACATTTGTGAGTAACAAATGATAATTTTTAAAATCGTGCTTTTTCTGCCTGTTCATTTGTAACATATTTCACAGTGAATTGCAAAACATTTTTTGTAAATATTTAATTGTCACGCAGAAAAATAATTTGTGTATCATTGCTATAAAAATTTGATATCCCATTTATGATGTCTGTTTATCAAATAGCAATAATTTATTTGAAAGTAAATTTCCAAGTGATGAGGAAAATGAAATATAAACCCAGGCAGAACAAAAACGTCTATCTTAAAGACATCTAAAAAACGTTCTATTTTTTTAAATACTTTCAGGCGTCTTTAAGAGATCTTTTAGAAGTTTGTTTTGCCTGGGAACTTTGTATATTATTTATATAGTAAATAAGACAAATGGAGGAATGTGTTTCTCCTAAAAAAAATTAATAAATTACGCGATTATGGACTCTCTTCTCGTTAAAGAAAATTGGAATGATCATTTTATTATCTGCCGTTTTCCTTTATTGAGGAAATTCGCAAAGACTTGAGCTTGAATTCCAATTTCGCGCTGGACGTTGCTTTGACGTGTCCCTTTTTGCGTGTGTTCGGAGAGCGTGTTATTAGCACTAAAGCAGTATTCTATCCTTGTTCTACAGTCTGTTTAAAGTTGCGTTCGGGAATCTCACTCAAGATGTGTTTTACTGTCTGCACAATATCAAGGGGAAAAGCGCCTTCTATTGGTGCGTTCAAGATTCTGGAATATAGTTTTTACCAACTGTAAATTATATCGGACACGTTCTTATCAGACAGATTGTATATCTTTGTAATGTAATGAGAGCGATAAAGATAAAATAACGCCCGTACGGAAAAAAAAACTACAAAAATGCGAAAAAATTAGTGATATACTATTGAAGAAGTATTGTTCTTCAATAGTGTATCGATCTTTTTTTTTTGCATTATTGTAGCCTTTTTCCGTACAGGTGCTCTAGCGCTGATAGCGTCAAAGACGTTGTATAGATAGACCAGGCACGCCAGGCCGAGCGAGTGAAGCGAACAAAGAGAGAGACAGAGAGATAGTTGGAAGAGGTGCTGACTCTTTCTAATGCTATGTGGAGGGGGCACCTCCATTCTCTAGCTTCTCCTCTCCTTTCCAACCCTAACCCCTAACCTTTATATCGGCGTTCTCGTTTTGGCAGATAAAATGGTTAATTCGTGTTGCGTTTGTGGCATTGAAGCAGAACCACGGAGTGATCGTTCTTTTCACAGGTAATTAAATTATATAACCAAAAAAAATACTCAATCCATTAGTTAGAGAGCTTCGTATATTGCTGCACACGTCTACGCTCGTCTACTAGTGCGGAGAAGGAAAGGAGGAGAATGGAGGTGCCCCCTCCACATAGCATTAGAAAGAGTCAGCACCTCTTCCAACTATCTCTCTGTCTCTCTCTTTGTTCGCTTCACTCGCTCGGCCTGGCGTGCCTGGTCTATCTATACAACGTCTTTGGATAGCGCACTCTCCAAACGCACCTTGCGTGTGTAACTGCGTTTACGTTAGCTCTACCAGTATTTTAGCATCATTGTGACTTGTGTCAGGTCGGATCGAGTCGAGTCAGTAAATTGAATACACTTTTATACGTATACAACCATTGTACCGTTAACACGTGACGTGCATATATCCTCTGGTATATATATATATATATATATATATATATATATTCTTCTAGGCATCATATACCGCAGTAGTAACGCGGATAGCAAAAAGGCAGAGAAAGGCGGTGTGAAATCGGTGTGAAATAGTGTGAAAAAACAATCAAAATACGCTTGTAATCATGAGTGTCATTACCTGCCGTGCACCGTGCAATATTGCAGTTATTAAATACTGTACGTACAATCATGATTTTATTATAACTAATTCGTCTACAATTAATATATATCGTAAATAAATTTCTACAAAAGTAAAATGAAAGAGATTTATTGTATTTATATGAGAATACATATATAATTGCATTTTGAAATCTTGATTGTGATATATTTGAAAATTTAGTATATATATGTTATGCAAAATAAATTCGCAACATTTTATTATCTCTAAGTTTTTTAGACTTCTATGGAGGAATGTTACATTTGTAATTTTTGCAATTAACATGTTGTCTAAATAATATTACTTTGAATTATATATAATTATGTGTTATTTTGTGACTTATTTAAGTTATAAATATATAAAATAATCTGTAAAAATCATCACTAAATTTTACTGTACAAATTATCTCTAAATCTTATCATATTTTATATGATAAGATTATATAGACATATTATATAGACATATTTTTAAATATTTCCAATGTTCCTTTTGTTGTTCGTATCATATATTATTTGAATATCAATAGCTATTGACTAGGAGTTGATACATGCAAATATTATTCTATTCATAAAACTGTCCTTTACCCTCGTATAAGTTTTCAAAGAACAAATCTGTTAAATCTGTATAATTTTAGGGGGAAAGAGAGATGAAGCCTTAATTTTGCCAACCAATGATTCTATAAGTATTACCATAGACATGCGCGAAGTAAATATGTGAAAATTTTTAACAAATCTAAATATGTACCTCGATGAAATATTCATAGCATTATCTTATTTTATTGACAGATGTATGCAGAAACTACTGTCATGATCAGCCAGGACTTTAAAGAAGATCGTATTTGGCTGAATAAGAAGTATATATCTTGATAAAGTACACATTTATATATCACTATATATATATATATATATTATACATATTATATTTATATATTACACTTTGTGTTATATTTTCTATTTTATCCAAATTATATTCATAAACCGATATTTTCCAGAGAAGAGGATATAAAAAATCCAAGACTTCAAAATTGTTTGAATGAAAGTAAATATGCAGTTAATAGACAGTTAAAAATATACAAAGATTTATTCTTTAAGATATCTTTCATATATTATATATTCTCTTTTTAAGTCAAGAAACGGTCGAATTTACCAGGCCATATGAATGATTGGAAGGTTCGCATCTGTTCGATCAACAGTTTTCCAACTGCGGCTGGTTTAGCCTCCAGTGCTGCAGGATACGCGTGTCTAACGGCGGCATTAGCTAAGCTTTACAAAGTAGAGGTATACTCATACATATTTTCTGATAAGACATCAATGTATTTTGAAAGCTGCACGATTTTCCTCTTAATCGATATTAAAAATATTGTTTTTTTTTTTTAGGGTGACATCAGTTCTATAGCACGTTCCGGCTCTGGTTCAGCATGTCGCAGTGTTATGGGTGGTTTTGTGAGATGGTACATGGGATCGGATAAACATGGCGCGGATAGTTTCGCAAAAGAAATCGCGCCTTCCTCTCATTGGCCAGAATTGAGGGCTTTATTGATAATTGTAGGAAAATAAATAGACAACAAGCACTTATATCATACATATATTCCAAGAGCAACAAAATTACACATGTTTAAACTCACAGGTAAACAGTGAACGGAAAAAAATATCGAGCACGATCGGCATGAGAAGAAGCATGGAGACATCTGAATTCCTGCAGCACAGAATAGCGAATGTGGTCCCGGAAAGAGCCGATAAAATGGAACGTGCGATTATCGAGAAGGATTTTAAGATCTTCGCTGAGCTCACTATGAAGGATTCTAATCAGATACATGCCGTATGTCTCGACACGTATCCTCCCTGCACTTACATGAATGATATTTCCTATAGTATTGCAGATTTTGTACATTCATATAATGATGCAGTGGATGACGTAAAGGTATATATAAAATATATCAAGAATTTATGTCTTATTCTACTTGTAGTTTTCTATGTAACTTACATTGCTGTGTAAATTATAGCGTATAATAAGACTTGATGTTTTTATATTAATGCAAAAAAATTGTTAGGTTGCATACACTTACGATGCAGGACCGAATGCAACATTATACTTAATGGAGGAAGACTTGCCGGCGGTAATAGGTGCCTTGGATCATTTCTTCCCTCCTCCTGAAGACAATACGGTCCTGTATAAAAGAGGATTACGCATTGAAGAGACCAAACCTTCACAAGTACGTGTTTTATACAAATATATAAAATTTGAATTTTAACATACATATTAACTATTATTTTGCACTAGGAACTATTGGAGAAATTGAAGTTCCGAAAGCATTCACCAGGACAATTTGAGTATACCATATGTAGTAAAGTAGGAGATGGTCCTGTATATCTCAAAACTCACTTATTAAATGATCAGGGGATTCCTTTGTTTGAATATAATAAGAGTTCTTAATATATATTTTTATAACATATATATATATATATATATTTACTATGTAATTTTATTTTTTTAAGGGCGGAAACAAATGGTTTTATATTTTTAATAGTTTTGATGTTATCATATTTATTGTAAAATTCAAATAGCTGTAACTTATATAAAAATAATGATTATGAATTCATTCCAAAAGTACTTTACTAGTTTAGTCTCCAGTCTCTACATATATTCTCAAATACAATGTCCATTTACTTCTTGGGATGGTACATAAATACGAGGGCAAGGTGAAAAGTTCTCGGCCTGACAATGAAAGACT